TAAGTGTTCAACATTGAACCAATCCCAATTGAAAAATCATATCATTTCTCTTCTTTGATATCGATCTTTGAAAATCTAAAAATGAAATTTCTACCGCTATTTTAATCGAGAGTTTTTGTAGGAAATTCTGATTTCCTGCGATGTAATTAACTATGAGCGCTTGCGCTCGTATGAAATTTAGAAACCCAGACCTAATTTTTAAAATTAAATTTTCAAAACCTCTAATTAATTATCTTTGAGAATTCAAACAAAAAAAATGATGATCGTTATCGTCAAATTCAAAATATCAGTAATAGGTAATATCATCTTTCTTCGGGAAGATATATTATTTTATTATCATTATTTTGATTATGAAATTAATGATCTCTTATCTGAATTATTTTAGTTAACCAATTGATTGGACGTCATTTTGATCTTTCGAGATCATATGTTGTTCCCCATTGAGTTTGACTACGATAATTCAGATAAATTTAAAATTCTGAAATTTGAACACATTAGGGAACGATATGATCACCTCTCGAGGTGATATACTATTCATAATGACGTGTTCAATTTTAAATTTCAAAATTAAATGTTTTCTAAAGAAAATTAATACTTTTTCAAAACTTATATTTTTCAATCAAACACTCGATGACGTTAACCTATATGGAAGAGGTTGATAGAATCCACCAAGGATGTATGACCTATCCGAGGTTATATATAAAAGCACTGCTCGATTAAGTTAACCTATATGAAATATGTTGAGAGAATATACCAAAGATGTATAACTATCTAAGGTTCTATGTCAGAGCTCTACTCGATGACATTTACCTATATGGAAGAGGTAGAATTGAATTCCCCTCAAATCAATTTTTCCTTAATTAGGAGAGCACAAATGCTGCGTGTATCCTGAATCAAAGGTGAAGAATATTCTATCTTTAGACCTTACTGCCTTTTTAAGATCGAAATTAAAACCTTGCACAAGGAATAGAAGTCTGACAAAGGACTGTATAAAATTTATAGTTGATTAGAAGCATTCTTGCATTTACTTTGATTTTCTTGAAATATAATCTTGATGTTGAAAGCATTGGAGAATCTTTTTTACCATGGTTGGAGTCAAAGTTGTCCCCTAGTTCGCATTTGATTCTTATGAAATTGATGCAATAAGGACTGATGTCAAGAGGTTGACATGAATGACCTTCTGAGGATAGAGCAAAATTTGCCCCCCAACCGGGAACCACATTCCCACAGATGTTGCCAAACTGTTGTGTTATGGAGTATTCACGGCTGTATAGTATTGAAACTTATTTAGTATGAATTAGGTTGTTAAACCTAATCATATGTCCCAACGGCTAACCAAGAGGGGGGTGAATTGGTAATTAAAAAATTTATCCCTCTTTTAAAAATTTTATACTGAAAATAACTTTAGTGAATTTTTTAGAAAAAATTTTTCAACCACAAGTTAAAATATTAAAAATAAAAGCAGTGGAAAAAATAAAAGACACAAGTTTTATAATGGTTCGGTCAAACACGATCTACATCCACTCCTCGGAGGCACCCTCCAAGTATTGCACTAATACCACTAGTGACTCTCCTTTTGCACCCACAGCAAGGCGGAGAAGCCTTTACAAAACTCTCTTCCACCACTACCCAGTGCGGTAGAGAACTGTCATCCTTTTACACTCTCCAGGTGTTGGCAGAGAACCGTCTGTCCTTTCACACTCACCCGATGTAGGCAGAGAACTATTCGTCCTTTCACACTCTCCAAGTGTGGGCAGAGAACCCTTCGGCTGTTCACACTCTCCAATTATAGGCAGAGAACCCTTTGTCCTTGCACACTCTTCAAGTGTGGGCAGAGAACCCTTCGGTTGTTCACACTCTCCAAGTGTAGGCAGAGAACCCTTCGTCTGTTCACACTCTCCAAGTGTCGGCATAGAATCGGATCTCCTTGACAGATCTTCTCACAAAAAATCTAAAAGGAAGAGAGAAAAAGAGTGAAGTAATCACAAACCACAAGTGGAGACTCTTACCTTTGAGTACCAAGTGAATCCTTCACACTCTAGTAGTAAGAATCCTCCTTCAAACACTCTCTTACACTCTCTCCTTGACACTCCCTTCAATTGACACAAAGATCAGTTGACAAAAAGATTAAGATGCAGTTTTAATTGGACTTTATATAAGAAAGACACAAAAAATCGTCCAAAAACTACTGATTTTTAAGTCTGTACATAATGGATCGTCATGTACGATCGTCAGATTGTCCTGTACGAATTTACTTAATTAGTTGCTGTTTGAATAGTTACTATTTGAATGATTTATAATTGTGCAACTTATGTAGTTTTGATGATTCCAAACATTATTGTTCAAATGTATAGTTATCTCCTATCAATTTCAGAAGATTTGCACTTGCTCTTGTGTGTACTAACATTTCAGGAAAATCAGACTCCAGACTACGAAAACTTCAAATCAAATTCAACATGAGACTTTGAATTAATTTTGAAAGGGAATGATTATAATTGAGTGAATAAAATCTCACACACACAAAATAAGGAGATCTTGAAATTCTATACTGATCGTACAGGACGATATTTATCGTACTGGACGATCTGTCAGTTATCTCCTATAGAGCACTTGGAACGAATAGGAACTTGCTTGAAAATTTTTTTTTT